TTTTTTTTCTTCCAGCAAACCTCATGGTGAACTGGGCAGCAACTAAACCTTCTGTTCGAACGGCAAACGACAGAATGTATTCCACTTTTCAACAATTTTTTAATTTTAGTGCATTAAAGTATGCAAAAGCATTGTCCCATCTCAACACAGGGGGATGGTGACACGGACCTCAGCAGCACAGACTTCCTACGCCAGGAAGCATTATTCAAAGAGAGATAGCAGATTTTCTTCATTATTTGTATCTGCCGTTTGTATCTTTTTAATACATTTTATTTTATGCATATTTGTAATCAAATTAAATGCCTTTAGTAGTCGTTTTGTGTCTCTTTCTTTAATGTTTTGCATGTCATGTTGCATCCTTTTGTGGTTGTTTATTATAATTCCGCTGTTTTTGACCGGTTTTGGTAATTTTATAATTGTTTAGCAAATTTTTCTAGTTATTTTGTGCCTTTTTTAAGTCATTTTGCATCCCTTTGTAGTCCTTTTTTGTATCCATTTTCATTTTGCATTGCTTTGAAGCTGTTTTATGTGTCATGGATATTTTTGGGAGTGTTTTGTCTTTTCTTTGTAGACATTTTGCACCTCATGAGTTGCTTTGTGTCTCTTTGTTTCTTTTTCATGCATTTGTAGATACGTCACATCTACTTTTTTGTCACTTTGCTGCACTCTGTTTTTCAAATCTTTGTAGTCCTTTTTTTTGCCACAAGCCAGTTACTTAAAATGCAGTGACTTGGCAGGACCTGTTGATTAATTTTAGTTACCTTCAGTAAATATGTAAGGATATACAAAAAATTAAAATGTACAAGTCATTCATGTTGTATGTTAACTCCTTTACAGGAAATGAAAAGCACAGTTTAATGTAGGGAGTGTTGGGTGGGGAGGAAGGCTTAGTGAATAATGTTAGCACTCTACAGAGATTTTATAATGGGAGAAATTTCTTCTTAATAATCGAATCGATTTTAAAATCTTATTGTTGACTTATAAAATCCTAAATAATATGGCACCAGATTACTTAGCGGATCTCCTCTGTCTGTGTAGCCCTAAGAGAGCTCTGAGATCATCGGGTCAACATGCTCTTGGTGCAACCTAGGTCTCGGCTGAAGACCAGAGGAGACCGTGCCTTTGCCACTGCTGCACCCAAATTATGGAAAAATCTTCCTCTTGACATTCGCGCATCAGATTCAATCCAATCTTTAAAATCACATCTAAAAACGTTCTTGTTTAACCTGGCATTTAAGGCTAATTAGTGTGGTTTTTATCTGGCTCTGCATTTATATTATGTAATTATTTTATACAATACAATACAATACAATTTTATTTATATAGCACATTTAAAAAACCACAGGTATGCCAAAGTGCTTCACAGAATGAGTTAAGAGCAATAATAAATACAAATATAAAGCACAAAATACAAAAAAAATATACTAACA